CCGTAGATTACATATAAAGTCATTTGACTTTGTTTGTAATCTACTCGCACAAATAATTAATTATGCGAATTCATGACGGCGACGTGAATAACGCGAACTGAATTGCCGTGAACGTGCAACGTACGCCTCAATCGCGTCACTCAATTCACATGATGCATTGTCACGCAAGTCAATCTGCGAAGAGCTTACTGACATGTCCGGTTGTATCAGAAAATGGAGGAGAGCATTACGAGATGTTTTAATTTGCACAAGTGACACGAAAAACATCCCGCGAGTAATCTAGAGCGATAACGCAATGCAAATATCCACTTTGCTTTAGGTATGCACACACCATAAGAGTTTCCTCTTTTAAAATACATGTGCCAGGTTCTCTGCCATTTTAAAGAAAAGTTAAAATTTAAAAATATTTAAGAACATATTCCTTAAACATTGAATACAACTTAATCATTACTTTAAAAAAAAGTGTTGTTTTAAAATTATAAATGACTATTTTAGTGTAGAGTCGCACCACATGACATCACATTTATTTAATTAATAATTATTTGGTATTTTAAGAGACTTATTGACCTGTACAAAAAGTCAATCTCTCTATAACATGATTTCCTGTTTAATTTTTTTCCCCTGAATGTTTATTTGGTCACACCGCATGACTTTGACTTCAGCAAACTTCTCAAACTTTAAACAGTCGCTTTTGGAAATTAGAAACTTTGAGACTTTTGATTTGCTTGGCCAAGGGGCATAAACAAAATTGTAAAATGCGCATTCAAGAACATCTTATCAATTCTCAAAGAGTGAAATCAAGTTCCGCCCTATATTTATTTTCCTCGCTGAATGTCCTATTTCACTTAGAACATGTAATGCACAACATTTCAGAAATAAAATGGGTTCTGAACACTGTTTAACGTTTATTTTAGGCTCTGCTCTGATGCGTCAGCTAATATGATTGTAAAATGATGGGTTTGGAGTTATTGTTGATATTTTAATGTGGTCTGATGATACACCTGCGGCATAACAATCTCTTCTTTCCATTCTCACTTCATTAATTTCTCTTAGTTGTCTCTCTATAGGTGTTTTATCACGTTCTGTACCCCCGGGTTTCTCTCTGTATATCTCCCTTCATCTTTCTCTAGTTTGTTCTGCTTCGAAGTGATAATTGGTTCCTTCTTCCTTCCTTCTTCAGACTATCACAGATTTATGTTCCAGTCAGTGTGTGCGTGTACTTCGTTATTCATCCATTATATGGATATTTGTTTTTCACAGGACTAATTTAGCACAGTCTGCCAGTGGTAAAAACAGGATTCTCCGTTCCTTTATTCGAAAATCATTCCAAAGCCTGTTCTAATAAGAAGGCATTTAGCCAACGCTTTGGGACACAAGCAATTACCATGCTTGTTTTTTAATAGCAAGCAGCTAAAATCAGAAACCTTTATTCCCAAATCATTCCAAAACCTGTTCTAATAAGAAGGCATTTGGGACACAAGCAACTACCATGCTTGTTTTTTTTAATAGCAAGCAGCTAAAATCAAATTTACTATTAATAAGGTGATCACATTATTGAAATTGAGAATTGAGAAACTTGGCAATTAACAAAAATTCTTAAGAGTCTTCCTCAATCAAAATAATCATAATATTTTGCATATAAACACTTGCAGGTACGAACCTGTGATCTTTCAGTTACCACATTTTAACCACCCTAATACACTCGTCTCTTTTCAAAGTTTGTCACCATCTCTTATCTCCAAACCTGTCAAACTCAAACCAAACTAAATCAGTTAAAGACACAAAAAGACTGAATCATGAACACAAAGCACACAGTGAGCAAAAACTAGTAGTCACGCAGACAGGTGTGTGTGTGAGGTTAACATACTGAGAGCATGAGCGATTTAAACCACAGCAAACATTAAAACGTCAACCCAAACACACGATTAGGTACCTGATGTAAAAATCAAAATACAAACTTCTCTTCCTTGAAGGCAAAAACAAAAGACCAAAGCATAACGGTTACTGTGCCATCCTCAACACACGCCCACTTCTCAATGACAAAATAAAACCAGATCAAACAAACGAGTGACATAACAAAAAAAAAGAAAATGCAAGTGCAGCTGATTGTTTGATCTACTTTATGGACTAATTGGCGATAATGATTATGATACCCATAGTAATTCATAGAGATAATCTCATAAAATATGTCAAAAACAAAAAGTTCACCACCAAAAACAAAACGAATAAGAATTTTTATTTTGCATTAAAACAAACAAGGTTTTGCATTTAAGGTCCATTAAGATTATTTTATTTATTGCCTAAATTCTCATTGCTGCAGTGTGTCTGCAAAATTTTACTTTTTTGTTATCGTCAGTGATGATTTTCAGTACATAGTACATTCTTTACTGTAATAAAGAATTGTTCTAAAAAACACCTTCGTTTTCTTTAAATGAAATATCATTTAATATATTTTTCTTTTGAATTTGTGGTAAAATAGGGCTTGGACACGTTGGCAAATTTTGTAAGATTAACCCTTTAGGACTTCTGGGTTTAGGACACACTTTATACAACTGTATTTTGGCCAGATGGTGAACAAACATACACTACATTTAAGCATAACTGACACATGCCACATCATTAATGAGATATTCTCAAGCACACATACACAAGACCATACCTTTTTTGTTTATAGGTGAGCATTGCTTCAGAAATAGGGAACTGGTGGGAGAGATTGGCTCCGGACAGATACTGCGAGACACGTCCGGCCACATCAATATTATCTGTAGAAAGTTTTAAACATCGCACGCATTAAGTACCAGCATCAAATCAGATAACAAAGGCATGAAATCATCTGAAGAGCCCATATTAGCAGACACGCTAACCTGAATTAGGAGCTTCTAGCCTCCCGAACACGTCCCTCCATCCGGCGTCCATGAAGATGTTATTGAACTTGCTGTCAAATGTTGAGATGTACTTAGCCAGTGGATGACAACCTGATCAAAAACAAAGTACATTTTGCTCACACTGAAGAAATACCTTTCACATCAGACCAAAGTCCAAAATAAACACTCACTAAACACCAAATATGACTACAAACTGGCGCATAAATAATCCCTGCAGCTGGGTGCAAACTCTACTGGGAACATAATGCATGTTTTAATTGAATTGAGTGAATCCTCCCATTAAGCCACCAAAACAGAATTGTCACAAAATCTGTCTTTATGTTTTTCTGAAACATACAGTTTTACTGAGGGAGGTGTGTATGTGACCCGTCCTGGCAAAATGAGTCACAATGAGTTATTTTTATTTGTACATTCTCTATTAAAAGACCTTCAAAAGTATGTATGATTTTGTTGGAATCGGACGAAAAATGACTTGAGCTACACCTGTCTGAAGTCAGCAAAGTCAATTTAGAGAAAAACTGATTTAACGTTTTCTGAAGGATCCAAAGCAAAATCACCCAGCAATACTACATCTTTCCCCCCACTTCTTTTCTTAATAATCATTACTAGATTAATAATCACACACATCTCTTTGTTGTCATAAATAAGAACCGATGCAAAAAAAAAAGAACAAATATAAGAAAGAAACAAGTGTATAGTGTATCACTTTTTTCATTTTACATCTAAACAAAAACATTCAAGTACAAAAACAAAAAGTATATCACTTGTGTTTATTACAAATAAACTGATTATTAAAACTACAAAAGCAGTTCAATCAAGAGCAGCGAGTGATTCACTCTTTTATTGTCTGATTAACATTGTGACAGACGCCTATATTAATACATAGTGTATCTAATATAATGTTACACATCCGATGTTTTTCCCCAACAGTTCCCCAAACGTTTACTTAAAACATAACAGATTATGTTTGCGTCAATACTGTAATTCTGTGTATTTGTGTATATTTATGGGGATCGTGTGCCGTCGGTGTCTGTCGTCTTTATGCACGTGCTACGGATGTCAATCACCGCGAGAAGAAAACTCGTCTCAGAAAATGTACAAATAAAGATACTTTTAGATGTTTAATTACTATTTGGAGCATTGTGATTGCTAGACGAGGGCCTAATGAACACATTTTTGTGAAAACCTCAAATTCGACCAAAATGGACATTTTTCACTTTTTTTTGCCTGTAGCTCAAAATTAGTATTATTACTATTATAAAATAAAGCAATAAGCCCAGTGAAGCCGTGGTTTACAGTGAATTTACAACAGCTCAGGGGCGTTGTTAGTTACGCGAAGCGGAGTGCCTAAAACCCCCTTAGCTGTTATAAATTCACTGTAAACCATGGCTTCACGGGGTTTATTGCTTTTATAAAACGGTTATTCCATATACGTAGTACAGTTTCACAAAATAAAACAGAGCAAATAAAGTGTGATGATATAAATAAAAACAGTATTCTTCCACCAAACAATGTAGTTCCTCAGAATCAGTTGTGGTTCCAACAAAGTGGTTGCCGAGCAACACACAGAAGTAAACAAAGGTGTGTGTTTGTAGAGTAATTTACAACAGCTTTGAACACGGCTCAACCAATCAGAATCAAGCACCGGAACTCTCCGCTTTATAATAAGTAGAGCATTCCGACTCATTTTGCCAGCACAGGTCACATATGAAAAACAGCTATAAAACCCATTGTAATTAGCATATTATACAATATATATATATGAAAAAATTAAAAATAAAACAAATAAATGAATATATTTTGAGAGATCATTTTTGGGACGTGCTTCAGATGCTTTATTCAGCTTACCGACAGGAATGACTAGAAACCGAATGTAGCTCAACCAATCGGGCGTCTTGTTGGCGAGCTGCTCCACAAAGCAGCGAAGGACCGTGCTGAGGTAACTCTGATCGCCCGCCACTGCCACTTTAATGGTGGGTGGTGTTTGTGCATTGCAGTTGCAGCTGACACAATGACAAAAATGAGAGATGCAAAATATCATGCTCAAGTTCTCACAGAAATACCCACTCGATTAATGTTCTGACTTATAAAGCGTGCTAGGGTTTATTTGTGTATTGTGAGTGCACAGTGAGACTTACAATCGTTGAATCCTGGTGACGATGGTGTTGAAGGCGGCCTGAACATCTGCGGGGGAGACGGTGGACACAATAGGCTGCTTGTGCTCCTGAAGAATCTCATTCAAATACTGCCACAGAAACAGAGTTCACGGCTCAAAAAGCAGCACGAGGGAATTAGTGCGAATGCTAAAGAGACAGTGTGAATGAAAACAAGTTATGAGGACTGTGATGTGCATAATGGCTATCCCTGCGGGACACATCAGCCTCGGGGAAGGACGAATGTCCAAATAAATCCAAACAGACAAGACAAGTGATAAAAACAGTTCGTATCCCCAGGTTAATGCGTCAGTCCTGTTACCATCATAACCATCTCTCATTAAAATAATGTACTATTCAATAAATCAAGTGAACTCTGAGACAAGTAAATCAAGAACAAGTCTCCTCTTTTCTTTTTATAATTATAACTCTCTTATAACTCTGTTATTGCTTTGAAGGCATCATTGTATCCAAATTGTAGAATACTAATAAACATTAACATCTAACACTAATCCACTAACTTACATAATAAATAATTTACTTGACTACAGAAGTTGCTAAAATCTTTAAACTTGACTTTACAAAACTACCTTTTTATGGAATAACTCTAAAATACACACACACACACACACACACACACACACAAAAAAACGTTTTCTTAAGTGGCAATATTCTTTACTTTTCTTTTTACTTTAATTGGCCATTTTCTTCATCTTCTTTTTTTCTGTTTTCCACTAAAAATGTTGAAAAATACTTTCAAAACATCAAAATGATATGCTTTCTTGATTGTGAGAACAACCAACTAGAAAACTACATGGAAGAACAGACGACTTGATGTTATGATGGACCACTAGAGAAATATGACAGATGGGTGTTTCTTCAATTGAGCACTTTCGGTCCTGTGGAGTTTCAGAAAATAAACTCGCTTAAAACTTACTTTTCACACTCGCCGGTTTAAAGTCGGCATGAAATAAACATTCACCTTACTTGGTAAATGCATGATATTAATCTTATTGTGAATGCAACTGCATTCAATCTACAGACTTCTCTTTGGTGACATATTCTACGCCAGACTTTAGTTGACTTAAAACCCATTCCTTTCTACAATTGACCGCAAGCTCGGATTTGGATCCGTCTCCATTCAATCAACAACTGATGAATAGAACCAAGTCCCCTCCCTGTTTTTTTTCAATATCCATTTCACTCTGATGTACATCACAATATTGAAGAAAAGATGTTTTGCTACTTCGTTTCATTGTGTCTTTTCAATTTTCAGGGCAAAATTGTAGTTTTATGCAACAGCTTAAACTTTTTTGTGACCAAAAGTGCCAATCTTATTGGATGGTCAGAGTTTTTCGCAGGCGAAACAAAAAATGTCAACAACCCTGTTTGTAAATTGTTGGCTTGCAAATATTGGTGTCAGTCTAAACAGATGAATTGCCACCAGTTCATTCAATATAAAATTGTATTAGGGCAAAATTGTTGGTTGGGGGGACAAAACTGCAGCTGTAATTTGTGTAAAGCTTAATCTAGATAATTTTCATAAAATAAATATATAAATGGTTTGTCCATTTCACTGTTTAGCTTATATTTTTTATGATAGATTTTAAGGACAATGTAAAACAATAAAATTTTTATGAAAAAAAAATGTTTTAAATTATAGTGAAAAATTATAATGGCATCTACAAAAAAATATATTTAAAAAAAAAGTTGTAATCTGTTAATTTTACTGTTCCGCAAAGGCCTACTGACACCAGCATGAATGTTCAGCACAAAAATTTGGGCAGATTTTCACTTTTATGATGTGTCTGTTCAGACCAGTGCATAAAAAAATGAATGAAAATGCAGTTTCACTCTCTGACAGTAGGTGGCGCTTACATTAAAGCAGAAACATCTCTGGGATGCAAAACATTGCACAACTTTGTTTGACATTCACTTGTCACAGGAAGACAAGACAGAGCCAGCTCCAAATTCTATTTAGCAATAGAGTCTGTTCGTGAGCGTCAACCAAATCATAGTTTTATGCAACCGCAGCAGCTCTGGGCTCGTAGTGTTAATTTTGTCAGCCATTTATTAATTTAGTCTTAGTCTAAGTCCTGTGTCAAATCTACTTTTTTAGTTACATTTAGTTAATTATATTTAGTCAACTTGTCCTGTTTTTGTTCAGTCAAGTTTTAGTCGACTAAATGTCTGAGCATTTTAGTCTAGTTTTAGTCAATGAAAACTTTTTTCGTCATGCTGTATAATGGTTACACTGATTAAAAAAAATATATATAATTTTGCTCAAAATTATAATCACAATGACTGTTGCCATTTGAGAAATGTATTTTTGCATTTTAATAGAAGTACTGCACTTTCACCAATAAGCACAAATCAGTAGAATGTGGACTCATATACATGGTTTATTTTAATAATAATAAGAATAAAATGTATCCTTTTAACGGAGAAGTTGTGATTTGGGAATTTAAACTCTTGATATCTGGCAACCACAAACATGAAAGCTCGTGTACTCATTTTTTTGACAAAACAAAAATTGTATTTTTTAAATTACATTTTAGTCTCGTTTTTATCATCAATGATATTGCATGTTGAGATTGTCATAGTTATCTTTTATTTACCTTATTGTCGTCTCATTTTCCTCATGAGAAAAAAGCTTGTCAATGAACATTTTTCGTCATTTCTTTCGTCGACCAAAAGTGCAAATCTTATTGGTTGGCCAGAGTTTTTCACAATGCAATGGAAAAAACTGTTTATTCACATTCAAATTTTTATCGCACCGTGTTTTCGCACTAAACATTTGCCATCTGTAGTAAAGGTCTACACGGAGGACCCGAGACCCGAGGACCCGACCCGGGATCCATACGGCTTCGGGGCTATATTTTAAATGGTCAGCCAGGTCCCTGGCTGGGTCCCAATCTATTACTTCGGGTCCTGGGTCTGTTTAACATTGTGTGTAATACACGAGTCGATAGGACTCGGAGAACACCCGGCCGTTATCAGAGTCAGTCAGTGCTGTGCAAAAAAAGTTGTTTTGTAACTTTCAACTTGTAAAATTAGGATGAGAAAAGTGTAAAAAGAGTCGGTAATTTGAAATAAGGTGGAAAAAAAAACAAAAAACACGAGCGACGTCATCAGAAGCAGGGTGGGCGGAGTTAATGCACACGCACGGTGATAATGGATACCTTCATGAGTGATGTGAGTTATTATTGATTATTTTTTAAATAATATTATGCATGAACCGTCTTGTTGTTATATTTTTTTTTGAGATTTTAATGACAATTTCATCTGCATTTCACATGACTGTGATTCAAAAATAGACATTAAAATTAAATAAATAAAATGTAGTACCGTATTGGCCCGAATATAAGATGACCCTGATTATAAGACGACCCCCCCTTTTTCCAGATGTACCTTTTTGAAAAAGGCTTTTTAAAAACCAAATCTTGTTTTTTCTCAGTAAAACACATTTTGTCTTCAATTATTTTCATATTGCATATTTTTCCTATTTTAATTTTTGTTTTGAAAGTATGGTAAAAACTGGTAAAATGTACCAACAATCACATTTAAAAAATATACACTTTTTGATATACCATTAAAAAAAAAAAAACAGGTAGCGCATTACATTACGTATTTCATTGCACACTCGTTTTATGTGTATTTGGCGCCACCTATTGTTGTGGGTGTATTATTGACATGTCAAAGTCTAGACCCTGAATATAAGACGACCGCGTTTTTTCAGATGTATTTCCAAGAAAAAAACATCGTCTTATATTCGGGTCAATACGGTAATTGACGGTCCACGTCGGTTCCGGGTAGTACATTTTTGACATTTCTCGGTTCTGCACGGGCCCGGGTCCAACTTTCAAAATAATAGGTCGGTTCCGGGTCGGTTCAGTGTAGCACATTTACGGGTCTCTTCGGATTTTGGACTCGTGTAGACCTCTACTCTGTAGTTAAAGAAACACCCAGATGTAAGAACATCTGCTAGGACTATTATTAAATTCAACAGCGAAAACTGCATCAGAGGGGATTGTTCAGACAGAAAAAAAGGGTGTTTGAGAGTAAGAGAGAGGTTGCAACAGAAAACAGATGGAAAGGAAAAGCAGGAAGGCAAGAATAGAAGGTCGCGTGTGTTACCTAGGCGACATGAGAGTCTGCGACTCAGCCTTGCAGAGTTTGCCCACCGTTCCTGCTAATTTCTCCGCACTCACGTCCCAGCTCATGCTGGCTTCACATGATGCCACGCCGCCGCCCGCCTCGTCCTCCACCAGCTCCTGCGTGGAGAGATAAACATCAGACGGGAACATGTATCACTCTCTTCAAGGGCTCACGCGGCCGTGAAAATTGTCATGTTGCCGTGGCGACTGCCACTTAGCCACAAAGCAGAATTGCGGTGTGAGTGTGTGTGTGACTTCAACACACTAGATACTGTTAGGACTGATTAAGTGTGCGACACAGACCACAGCCTTGAATTATCAGCAGTCAGCGCACAAAAACAATAAAAACAGGACGGCCCTTATGAAAGAAGGATAGAGCCTCTTCTACTGAAGATAAAATGAACTTTTCCATTGTTTGAAGAAAATGTGACCGGTGATTGCTTGCATGAAACTTGACACCACAATGCTAGGGTATTCTGAGTGGTTGCTAGGGTGTGCTAAGTGGTTGCTTACTGGCCCAAGTCTTCCAATATGATATTCCGGTTTATAGAAAGGAATCTGAATTATAAGAGCTGGATGCTGAAGTTTAATATTTATTAGTAGTGTTGTTATTGTTAACCAGTGGACAGTGGATTTGTACTTTGTTACCTTAATTAAGTACATTTTTCAAGTATCTGCACTGTTATTTTTATTTTGGGAAACGTTTGCTTCTCTACATTCCAAAGCATAATATTTTCTTCACTATATTTCATAAAAACATGCCGTTCCTCATTATTTTGAACTGGAGAACTCACCCCTTCTGAGATGTTGATTCTTTCTGATTCTTTCCAATGAACCTGATAAATTGGTTCACAGATCGCACTAAACTAGACTGATCTGATTGAAATTGTTCTTCAGTCAACAACTCATTGATTGGTCAAAATGGCTAAGAACCGATAGCTTGAACATGCACGTGACTGATGGAGTTACTAATGGCGAATTTTCGATTACTGTAAATAAAAGTCATATTTAGGTCATGACTGTCCATTATTTGTGAAGTAATTCTTCTGTAAAAAGTACAAACTGTTTTAAAACACTGAAATCCTTGCATATGGACATGTCTGCATTTGTCATGTCTTTTTACTTTTGATACTAACATGGATAGTTCACCCAAAAATGAAAATTACCCAGTGATTTAATCACCCTCAAGCCATCCTAGGTGTACATGACTTTATTTTTTCAGATGAATACAATCAAAGTTATATTTAAAACATGTCCTGGCTCTTCCAAGCTTTATAATGCCAGTGAATGGCTGTTGAAATTTTGAAGCCCAAAAAAGTGCATCCATCCATCATAAAAAAGTGCTCCATAGATTCCAGGGAGTTAATAAAGGCCTTCTGAAGTGAATTGATGCGTTTGTGTAAGAAAAAATATTCATATTTAAACTTAACAAACAGTCATCTCTAGCTTTCACGAGAGAGTGGCGTTTCAGTGGATTATGTAGGACAAAGGTGTAGCGTAAGCTATTATCAGTGAGAATATGCTAGTCTTGCGAGAACCAGGTTTTGTAAACAGCAAAGGAAAGCCAGTCTCCTCTTGGCTTATATTAAAATCCCCCAAAATTTTTCTTGACAAATCCTCATTTTGTACTTCTAATTTGTGACCGGTGTTTTGTGTTGCTCTCTCCTCTGGAGAAATGGGGTGAGTTTAATTTTTGGGTGAGTTATCCCTTTAAGTACATTAAAATCAAGTACGTCTGTACTTTTACTCAAGTAAAATAAAAAATGAGTTATAATGTTATAATGACTTATAATTTCATTAAGGTTCATTAAACTGTACTTTTACTCAAGTACTTGATTTGTGTACTACATCCACCACTGTTGTTAACTAAAACTACAACTATGAAAATATTATTTGTTAACTTAAATAAATCTGAATCAAAATAATATATTATTAGATGGAACACTTAAATGAAAATGAGAAATGTTGCCTGGGCAACTAACTGAAATAAGTTTAAATACTAAAATTACTAGTACTAAAACTGAAAGAAAGCTGAATAGAAATATAAAAAATGTATACAAATAACAAAAGCACATAACAAAATTACTAAAACTAAAATTAAAATGAAAGCTAATTCAAAATATGAATAAATATTATAATAGTATATACTGTAAATAATACTAAAATAACACTGATACTTTTGTAATGTAGAGGGATAAACATTAAGAATTCTGATTCTTAATAAACATCATTTCTGACCCACAGAAAATAGTTGAAAAAGTAAAATAAAAAACATCTACAAAAATGATTCATATTAATATTACATTTGTGTACATGACATTGTTTTGTCATTATGACATTGTCTATGAGCTCTAATGCTTGATCGATTTGGTCTGTCCAACAGACAGCAGAATTGTTTGGAAAAGTCATTATGAAAAATGTAAATAATGACAAACAGGCCTATAAGTCTATCCCAGTTACACAGAATAATATAACATGTACCCTACTGCACAACATTTTCAAGTCCCACATGGATGCACTGTATTTGTTGGCTCTGTCTCTCTCTTCTCCCATCTCTCTAAAAGTGCCTCATTAGGGCTGTTATTGTGGTGATGCTGGGTAGTAAACACATTTAAACACTCACACACTGTTACTCTTCACTTTAAACAGATGTGAACTGATAGGGACAGATAGAACCAATAGTAATCAACAGAAGAAAAGAAAGAAAAGTAAATAAACTACATCACCTATATATCTACACAGTAATCGATATTCTACAGTATTTCAGAGAGCCGTGTAAAAATTGCTGTATGTTACATGTATAGAAATGCAGAAATGGTCACTGACCCCAGCTGCCGAGTCCACCACTGTAGGGTCATCCGGATTTCTTCCACCCATTACCCTGTTCTTATCCACTGTTAACAGATCGACACCCTGCAAACACACACACAAGCACAGAAACAAAGCACAATAGTGAGCATGGGGTTCACGCTTTGGTTCTGCAAGTATTTTCCCATTTCCTCCAGACCCTTCTGAAAGAGAAGTACACTATTACTTATTTTAGAAGCAATATATTTTAAAAGAACTTAAGTGTGAACAGAATGCAATGATTTCTGGCACTTAACTGCATGTTAATTGCAATTAAATGAAAATGTGTTATAGCTTAAAATTATATTAAATTCAATTAGTTGAACTTTGGAGTACTTTTTTTGGCCGACTTATGTGGGACTTAAGTAATCTCTGTAACTTAATCTTAAATGCAATTTCATAATTACTTCTATTGACTTTGAAATATAGTTTATAGTGCTGCTGAATGTATTGACAAACATTTATGGTAAACAAATATACATTGTGTCTAAAATATACTTTGCAAAATTGTACGTCATGATTTTAAAAATATTTTAATTACACATTTGTAAAAATGATGTTGCAGTTTAGTACATTTAAAATTATATTAACGCTTAAACATAATATTGAATAACACATTACAGTTCAAATTATAATCAAGTGTTTTACATGTGCTATAGCATGTTAGACAACACATCAGAATAAGTGTGCTTCTTTAAAGAATATTAAAACAATGATTTTTAAAGTGTACTGAGGAGTACACTGATGATATATCATCAGTTAACAACCTTGGAGTCTACGTCTATATTTGAAAGTTTATACATTATCATTAAAAAAAAAATTTCCCCTGGAGAGACAATGAATGGGATTACACTATTTTCTCACAAAGGCAATATGTATTTACTACATGTTTTGTCAAAACTGATTTATGATTTATGACTATGATCTGTCCTGTGACAGATGAGTTTGACTTGACTTTGCTTAGATTTATAAGGAAAAAATGGTGAAAATTTATATGAAATATACAATATACAACCAACATTGGCATGTTCTGTGTTTGCCTTTGTTTAGGCAGAATAATACTGATAATACAAGCATTCAAAATGTCAGACGTACAGTGGAAGTGGTCAGCTCTCTCGGCTGGCTCTTCTGACTGTGCAAACTGCCGATCTCCGTCTGTGAGCTGGAGTGAGACATTCCCTCAAAGAACGGCCTTGAGTGGAAAACATACACACGTTAAGAATATAAAAACAGTCTTAGAGCCAAGAGTTGGATTTCATGGTCAGCGATCCAGTATCAGTGAAGTTTTCCTCAGTGTTCTTTAAGAGGCATTTACTCTGGCGGCGTTTTGCAAAGACAGAGCAACTGGAAGTCGTTCACTTTGACTGAGAGTCAACAAGACAGTGGACGATTACCAATAAGAGTAGAGCATCTAGAAGTAGGAACGGCCAAGGAAGAAAGGGAAAGTTGAAATAACTTACAGAACTTCACAAAGTGAAATATATCCACAAGGATATCTAGTTTGCTCGCTACTAATTGTCTCTGAATATCTGTCAAAGATTTAATTTCATGAAATGATGTGATTTTGAAAATGGCTTGCCATTTTTGTGTGTAATATGCATCAGACTAGCGCTATGAGTCACGAATCTTACTTTAATTTGGGTTTGGGAGTGCTGAGAAGACTCTCGTTGTCCTCCATCTCTGGGCCACTGTCGATCTGGTTATAAACCTCCAGACTGTCATACAGAAGATCCAAATCTTCAACCTCCTGCGTCTGATCAACTGGGTCTGAGTCCAAGACCTTTTTGAGCCAGCAAAATATAAATAAAATGTAGATATTAGAGCCCGACCGATATGGGTTTTTTGGGGTTGATACGATACCGATATTAGGGAGTAAAAAAAGGCCGATATCGATATATCGGCTGATATTCTTTGTGTATATTATAGTACCGTACCAGTCAAAAGTTTGGACACTTTCCCATTCGTGTGTCCAAACATTTGACTTGTACTATATTTCAAGAGGGTTCCTCGAGCTGAAGGGATCCCCCGAATTTGGTGCGGATTCGCTGCGCCTTTAAGGAGATATGGCCATTCAAATTTTCAATGGTTTTCCACAGACTTAAGCTTTAAAGCGTTTCATCCAGGTCGCCAGTAGCAAACAATGGAGCACGCTCTGCTGGACAAACTAAGTAATTACACCATTTCACGCATTTTATCTGCGTTATATGTTCTGTAAACAAAAATGTTCATATCGGCGGCATATTCGCCGATACCGATATATTGGCAACAGGCTCATATCGGCTAAACGATATATCGGTCGGGCTCTAGTAGATATGTATGAAATGTAAGTAAATCTCATAAGAACATGACCAGGTCACATTTCAAACCAAATTGACTTCATGACAATTTAAACAAATTTGCCCCCAATAATTATCATTGCCGTAATTAAAAAAATCTATTATTTTTTAAATTGTAGTATATGATTTTCTGCCTTTAATTTATGCCAAACAAAAACATTACAGTATTTTATATTATAGTTAATGTCAAATTACTATAAAACCTTAATAAGATGGGGTTTTTTGTAGTAAAATGTGACTTGAGCATGATTTGCCCATTTTAAAAAGCCAACATGTGCTGAAAAACCAGACATTCAGTGCAATCTTTTTCATCCAGAATTTTCACAGGACAGTACAATCACCAGTAATGACCCATTCATACTATAAAATGCATCTCCTCAGGCAGCTGAGACTAAAAGACAGAAAGAAGTTCATCGTGTAAAAGTAAATGAAAAACAGAAAGAGGATAAGAGATGGTCTGAAAGTAAAGGGTGCATATGAATGATCATCCTAATAATGAGAATTTATAAGAATTTACACTATTGTGCTTCTTTTCCAAGATAAAAAAAAGCAAATTTCACTCTTTTTATATATTAAAGGGTTATTTCACCCAAAAATGAAAATTCTGCCATTAATTACTCACCTTCATGCCGTTCCAAACCCGTAAGACCTTCGTTCATCTTCGGAACACAAATTAAGATATTTTTGATGAAATCCGAGAGCTCTCTGACCCTCCATAGACAGCAACACAACTGAAATGTTCCCAGGTCCAGAAACGTAGCAAGGACATCGGTAAAACAGTCCATGTGACATCAGTGGCTCAACTTCAATTTTGTGAAGCTACGAGAATACTTTTTGTGCGCAAAGAAAACAAAAATAACAACTTTATTCAACAATTCTTCTCCCCCGAGTTACTTTCTTCTGCCATTTTGGAGAGTAAAATGACGCATGTGTGCACTTTCTCCTAAACGTAAACAGCGTTGAAGTTGAGCCACTGATGTTGCATGGACTGTTTTACCGTTGTCCTTGCTACGTTTCTGGACATGGGAACATTTCAGTTGTGTTGCTGTCTATGGAGGGTCAGAGAGCTCTCGGATTTCATCAAAAATATCTTAATTTGTGTTCCAAAGATGAACAAAGGTCTTACGGTTTTGGAACGACATAAAGGTTAGTAATTAATGACAGAATTTAAATTTTGGGGTGAACTAACCCTTTAAGTGCTGCATTGTGTTCACAACTGGATCCATCCTTTATAAGTGGACACTGATTTAAAATGTCTCAGCACACAAACAAACTTTGTTAGCATTGTTTTGCTCCACTATCCCTGCTTAAAAAAACTTAACACTAACTTGGCCAGGACAGAAGACCAGCTAAACCAACTTAAACCAGCAAAACACCAAAGAGTGATTTTACTCAGTTGTGCATCAAATGAATGTTATAGTATGTTTTGCACTGCTATGAACGGTGGTCAATGTTTTCTCAAAAAAAAAAAAAGGTAACCGGAAAGCTGTGATTTAACTGCTGTTGGATATTCCCAAAAGTGAAGTAATTTTTTCAACTGTCAATCACAGGTGTTTTGAAATACGCTACATATTTGAGACACACCCAAAGTGAGGTATTGCATTGACAAGCCCATGTTGGCAATGCTACTCATGGGAACAGCCTGCCAATGCAATAAAAGTGTGTCATCACCCTGAATCAGGAAGTTGCTGGAATGATTGCCAAATAAATCTGGATCATTTCCTGTAGGGTTTGGATAACGGAATGTGGCAGCCAAGGCAAGAGGACGAGGAAGTCAAAGAGCTAAACAGCTATCAACTAACAAGCTTAGACTCTAACAATGAGACCACAAAGCTACTTAAATCTTGCCTGCAGGCTCTAGAAACACGTATGGCCTAAGTCATGACCCCATAACTTGTCCTCTCGGAGCAAAGCAGTAAGTTTAGTTTTAGAAGAGATATACATCATATCTTACACTGCAAAAATCAAAGCTCCTCTCACATTTCAGCTACTAGATCAATCATTGCCAAGTCCCAGGGCTGTTTTTATAAAGGTTGAATTTCATGGCTGAAGTGATTTTGTGATTACAAGCACAGGACCGCAAAGTAGAGAGTGGAGAGTGTAGAACTTCAGGAAAACATGTAATTCTCTCTGTTGCAACTTATGAAAGACAAAGAAAATTCTCACCTCATCAGATACTTTGAATCTCTTCAGGAGAGCAACAAACTTCTGCTTGAAATTGGGTTGCTATAAAGAAATTGAGAGAATATGTCGTCAAGGACTTCTGAATTGCAACTGTTCAATGCAATACATGTTATAATCACAGTACAAAAAATTATGGTACATAAAACAGTAAAATTATTGTACTTTTTGCCATGCGTTTTAGTTGAGACAGTAAAATAGGTAAAAGCAAAAGACTAAATGGAAAGAAATTGCATAAACCATTATTGGTCCAACTTTTTATTAGGCATCTTTAACTGCTATGCATTTGCATCCAAAAATTGTTAGGTAAAACAAACTTATGTTGTATTGCTAAACAATCTTGCTGCTAACAATTGCAGTTATGGGCAGGTATAGTTAATTTTAAGAGTAGGGGTAAAGTCAACAGTGCAATTATGGATGTAACTAACGAAATTAATTATAGATGTAATTAAATGCCTGGTATTTTGTAAATATAAGTACAGTGTAATAACATTTATGTACACAATTAGTGCACTGTATCATATAATTAACTTTAAATGCTAGTACATAGTAGTTAGACACTTTAAACATGTGCTTCAGAAAAGTGTAAGGAGATCTATATTAGTGTCGCTCTAGTTTACACATTGATCCTGGGCTTGTGTTCCTGATGTGTTTCTGATGGTGAGCTTTGCTTAAGAGGATTAGAACATCACCTTCTATGACTTTCTGTGAACTAGATAACACTGAACCAAACACCACCTTTAGGACACAAAGCCAATTTATCTATGTTTCTATCAGGTAGCTGCCTGAAGTGACTTGTATCAAAACAATTAATCTATGATAACAGACAGTCTTTTGAAAATCATATTTCCCATGTTACAAAAACAGCATTCTTCCATCTTAGAAACATTGCCAAGTTACGAAACATGTTACCTGTTTCTGATGCAGAAAAGCTAGTTCATGCATTCATGACCTCTAGACTGGACTATTGTAATGCACTGCTAGGTGGTTGTCCTGCATCTTCAATAAAACCACTAAATATTGTAGAAACTTAATCTGCTGTAAAGTTGCTTTGCAATGATTTGTATCGTGAAAAGCGCTGTACAAATAAATAAACTTGAATTGATAACAGACAGGGTCATCTAACTGTACTGCGGTGACAACATGCCTGCATGCAGAAACAAATAGAGAACAGGGTGGATTATATTACAGTGATATAGTATAGTACAATTTAATCATATCAGCTATTGGCACTGTTATCATGTCAGTTAGCAAAACTGTATTCTCTGGTATACAAAGATGTTTTACAAATGGTGTTCCCCAGGGCTCGATTATGGGTCCTATCTCTTTCTGCAAATACTCAGATGTTTGTTACTGGCCCCCCCAGGATAAATGCAGAGGGAGTATATCTGTACATACCCGGGTCATAGATATGGTTCTAATCATTTTCCTCCTAGATTTTTTCGGCTTCCGCTGAACATCATCATCCTCATCATAAAGGTCCTAAAACAGAATTTCAAGAAATCTGATGCTTTTGATAGGAAGAGATCCTTTTCTAAAGAAACGGGGCAAAATATTAAATTAACCACAGTGCAAAAACCAGTTTCTTAATCACTAACTACCCAAAATCCAGTATAATCAGCCATTAAACAATGCTATCAGTGGATGGAATTCTTTTTTAGGTAAATTCTCCCAATACAGTATTGTTTTAAAGTTAACCCATAAGCGAAAACTAACACCAACGAAAACCAACACCAATAAGACCAATGATATTGACAGATTACATTCATAGCAGAAAACAGGGAATTATATAAAAATGTACTTTTTTACTTTTTTTAGAGCAAGATATATAAAAGTCATATTGGTGAGAACTCCTGACCTGGCCTTGAACAGCGTCATCACTCGCCTCTTGCTCTGACGAGTAACTATCATCGTCATCTTCAGAATAGTTATCCATATCTGGAGAACGGTCTAAAAGAGAAAGAGACATTTAATGACCCCACGGTACTTGACATTTTAATGCAGCAAAGGCCTCAGGCATACAGTAACATCTGACATCCAAAAAACCCAAAGCATTAAAATGATTCATTCAAAACATGTAGCAATTTTATTGCTCCAATTTGAGAACACTTGAGCTGCTGAAGCTACTTTCCCTTTTAATGTACCACAGCATCAGTCACTTTTTCTTTGTGTGTGCTCTGAGATGATGAATGGGAGGATGTTTTGTGGTACAGAGTGTTTCCGGGGGACTTTTTATCTTAATTGCAGCTTAATGCACTCAAACTGTCCATTAGCATCTTTAAGTCAATGTAATGACTGTACATAAACAAACCCAATCACTGATGGAATATTGTGGTTTGTACAGTCATGCAATTGCAAGGACAAATGGGTATATGGGGTGGTTTAGTGTAGTGGTTAAAGATTTAGCCAGTGTGTGTTCCCCTCCTTGCCATTTAGATGTTGTTACATTTGTGAAATTTCGAAGGCAAAAAAGTACATTGTCTCTTGTCAATACTGTAGCGATATATGAAGCACAGCCTAACGTGATTCGCAATTGTGTGGATTCCTATTGAAATGACTGGACTGCCCACAGAAATTCGCCCAACAACAGTTCTGTCAAGACAACTATCTGAGAGTTTAGTATGGTAATATACATGGCAATGTTAATGTGTTGGGTCTTGAAATAGATTTGCTATGTGCTATGGCAGAGCAAGTACTGAGACTTAGACATGCTGCTGTGCGGCACATATAACATATAAAATAATCCCCATATATAACATACATGATATTATCCCATAGCAGATCTATACAGGTGGAGCTGGGGAAGTTGGAGGGTATCTGAAGCACACTGTGACTGCTTCAGCAAGCACTAGCCGAGTATTTGAATATTGAGCAGCAAGCTCATTGGCTGAAAGAAACCAATCAGCTGCGCCATGTGAATAATGATGTGATTATATCAGATTGAGTTAGAAACTATCGGCCTGCGCCAACTAGAGTTTCATGAGAGCACTTTGCATTAAATGTGAACACACTTTTCAATTTTAATACATTGATACATTTGTGTGAATCACCTGAAGCTTTGGCCTTTGTCTCTGGCTGACCACTGCCGTCTTCTGGGTCAATAGGTTGACTTGACAGTGAGTAAACACTGAGTTCCGCTGCACGCACCTGTGCTTCCTTCACGTTACTATGGAGACCTAAAATCTGGCCTCCATCTGTCGGGTGCTGCATCACCTTTAAACATAAACACTCAGAAATAAGTAACACATGGTCAAAAGAGTTTCCTCAGACACATTCTTGTCCATTCAGCTTAACTCCAGCTCATGACCTCCATCTGAAAGCCTAATTTTTTTGTCAATTCGAGGTTGCATTCCCAATCGACCTCTTGGATAGATGAATTGTCCCCTATGTTCAGTGTTTTCTGTGTTTGAGTCTCTATTGAATATGATTATCGCTGGAATCTCAGCAGAGAGGAATTTGGAATTTGCGGGGGTGAAACTGCCGAGATAAATTGCAGGCATTTTCAGAAGGCTAAATAGCTGAATAAAATGCACCAGTAGGTGCACGCTCACATAAAGGCCCCCAACACTCCTATACACTAGACCTTTTTAAGAATAATTGTCTCGAAACAAAAGAACAAGACATATTAGTCATTAAGTGTTCTAACATTCTAATTATTATTAACATGAGTGACCCCAAATGGAAAAACTCTTACAAATACAAAAGAGAATGAAACTTTTACACTCATTTCATACTTTTAGCAATGAATATCCACCTAATACTTCAGAAAACTCAACCATATTTGAGTTTTAGAATGGCTACTTTCTCAAACTTCGCAATCACTGCTTTGTAGTTACATTTTTTAATTACCTTTGTAATGACAAAGTTGCCATTTAGTACCTTCAAAATGTATTAACTTGAAAGTACTATTGAATAACACAATAAAGTTCAAATTATAATCAAGAATATATATATATGGCAAACCTGCGGCAACCAGTGTTGGAAGTAACACGTTACAAGTAACGCCAGTTACTTTGTTTTCCCATTTATTGACTGACAGCTCTCCTGTCCCCATGTTGAGAGAAATCGGGAATAAGTGCAGAGGCGCTGTGTGTGCTGTGTGAACATGATTGCTGACTAAACCTGAACATGCATTTACTCATTTCACTTGCACAAAAACAGATTCAGTATTCCTCAAAATGACCGCTGAACAGTTTGCCGAAAGGTTTGTTTGAGCAAGTAACACAATATTGTAATGCATTACTTTTAAAAATAACTTTCCCCAACACTGGTGGCAAAAATAGCCAATCCATCACTATGATATCAATGCATATGGCTCCTTTAATGTGTGATATGTGAGAGAACAAGTATTGACATATTGACTTTACATGAAAGCTGTGAGTATGAGCTGCTTTGCTACTGCAGAAGGGTGAAATAAAGAGGTCACAGTCAGTCTGGCAGAAGCTTCAATGAACTGGACACCAGGGTTTTGTGTACCTCAGCCATATTAATAACACCAACAGCCAGCGTCTTGTAGCCCAGAATAGTTCTGTTTTTATAGCGTTTCCTCCTTTGAAGCATGATCTGCAGCCGGTTGGCATCTCTCTTCAGGAAATGTGGGTACTAAAGAAAGGAAGTACGACAGTACAGTGATTTGAGCGTATTGTTGCTTGAGATTACATCATTTTTATCAGCAACATTGTGACAACGCTAGCACACACACTTTATTTGATGAAATCTTCCCATCACTCTTCCTGTCAAAGCAACTCTTAAAGTGTCAGCTATAAATGCCGGATATCTGACCCAAACCGGGGAAAAACATAGAGGGTTCTCGGAAGAAACAAAGGGTAATGAAGTAAACACTCCATGCAAAGAGTACTAAAACCCTGAAACACTTTCTCAGTTAAATATGCAATTAGATAGGGATGGGTAATAACAAAAAATATCACAATATTTAGAAATTTTGTTCAAAATGCTATATTAAAACATTCGTTTTATCGTACAGTGTACAAAAAATAACATAAAATAAAATAAATACATAAAAAATCTGGAAATACCAAGGCAAGGCAAGGCAAGGCAAGTTTATTTATATAGCACATTTCATACACAATGGTAATTCAAAGTGCTTTACATAAAAGAAAAGAAAAAAATAAATAATCACAACAATAAAACAAGGAATTTAAAAACTTTGAAAATGATTAAAAAAATTGATTTAAGAGGTTTAAAATGAATTTAATACTTTGTTTTCCCATTTATTGACTGACAGCTCTCCTGTCCCCATGTTGAGAGAAATCGGGAATAAGTGCAGAGGCGCTGTGTGTGCTGTGTGAACATGATTGCTGACTAAACCTGAACATGCATTTACTCATTTCACTTGCACAAAAACAGATTCAGTATTCCTCAAAATGACCGCTGAACAGTTTGCCGAAAGGTTTGTTTGAGCAAGTAACACAATATTGTAATGCATTACTTTTAAAAATAACTTTCCCCAACACTGGTGGCAAAAATAGCCAATCCATCACTATGATATCAATGCATATGGCTCCTTTAATGTGTGATATGTGAGAGAACAAGTATTGACATATTGACTTTACATGAAAGCTGTGAGTATGAGCTGCTTTGCTACTGCAGAAGGGTGAAATAAAGAGGTCACAGTCAGTCTGGCAGAAGCTTCAATGAACTGGACACCAGGGTTTTGTGTACCTCAGCCATATTAATAACACCAACAGCCAGCGTCTTGTAGCCCAGAATAGTTCTGTTTTTATAGCGTTTCCTCCTTTGAAGCATGATCTGCAGCCGGTTGGCATCTCTCTTCAGGAAATGTGGGTACTAAAGAAAGGAAGTACGACAGTACAGTGATTTGAGCGTATTGTTGCTTGAGATTACATCATTTTTATCAGCAACATTGTGACAACGCTAGCACACACACTTTATTTGATGAAATCTTCCCATCACTCTTCCTGTCAAAGCAACTCTTAAAGTGTCAGCTATAAATGCCGGATATCTGACCCAAACCGGGGAAAAACATAGAGGGTTCTCGGAAGAAACAAAGGGTAATGAAGTAAACACTCCATGCAAAGAGTACTAAAACCCTGAAACACTTTCTCAGTTAAATATGCAATTAGATAGGGATGGGTAATAACAAAAAATATCACAATATTTAGAAATTTTGTTCAAAATGCTATATTAAAACATTCGTTTTATCGTACAGTGTACAAAAAATAACATAAAATAAAATAAATACATAAAAAATCTGGAAATACCAAGGCAAGGCAAGGCAAGGCAAGTTTATTTATATAGCACATTTCATACACAATGGTAATTCAAAGTGCTTTACATAAAAGAAAAGAAAAAAATAAATAATCACAACAATAAAACAAGGAATTTAAAAACAGTTCCAAAGTAAAGGTAATCATACCACGCATTTGATTAGATTGTTTTTCTTTTTCATTTAATTTACAGTCATGTTATTGCAATGACACGTTTTATTTTTTTTCCCTCTAAATGTAACCAATTTTAATTTTTCTGTTTTATTTTTATAGGGAATTACAGTGAAAAAACACGAGTAAATAATGACTGATTTGACATTTTTGGGTGAACTATTCCTTCTAAGCCCTATTTGGATGGGACTACACTGAAAAAATGGTGTAGGCTTTCCTTTGAAACAACTTGCTAGTGAACTTCACAAATAATTTTAAAGAAAGGGCAAGTAACACTTTGAATTAAATGTGAAATTTTCAAAATTTACACTGCAGCTTTTCCTAAGCAGGTTAGAGAAAGAAGTAAAGAAGAATGTAATCTTAATTAAGTATATTAATATTTAATCTTATTTCAGTGGATGTATTATTCATATCATATTCATAGACTGAACTCTGTTTTATTACCTAAAATATTCAGATCACATGACCTACCATAACGCCAAGATTCAGACAACAGACATTCTCACCTAAGTAACACCTAGTCCCATCCAAGCTGGCACATGAAATCACATTTGTCTTCTGTTAATAAATGAAACAGTATAATGCTTAACAGCATATGTTCAGATACACACATACAGTATAAGAAGACAGATGTACCTGCAGGGAAAAGGTGAGCTCCAGGTCTGTTTCCATCAGGCCGCTGGGTGGGAGCATGTACTCATTCGACCTCAGGATGCGTTTGGACCCCTGAAGACATGAAAAGATCTGTCTGATCTCTGTCTCTTACAAATGCATGCATTCAGTAAGAAACTTCTGATGCACCCTCAAGCAAATCAAATGTTGAAGCAAAGTTTGAAAATAAACCCACGCAGTCTCTTGCAAATTGAAATGTTGTCCGCATGGTTTGACAGCGAAAGCATAAAACAAGACAGAAAATGACTCAGTCACACTGAATGTGTTGAATAATTTGTGTTCCTTGTTACTGTCCGTTTCGCTTCGCTGCAAACCTCTTGCAGGCACATCTGAGAGGCAAGTCACGGATATGAGCTGTCATACTAACTAGACAACAGAGACCCCTGCTTTAACATTCATCTGCCTGCTAATGTGGCGATCCGTCACGGCCCAGCTCACGTGAAACGCATACACACACACTGAGCTGTCATACTGACTAGACAACAGAGACCCCTGCTTTAACTAACATTCATCTGCCTGCTAATGTGGTGATCCGTCACGGCCCAGCTCACGTGAAACACACACACAAACAGATAATCACTACTGGTTGACCGATAAGGGGTTTTAATGGCAAATGCACATATCTAAACTAAACATTGGCAGAGTGGCCAATAGCTACATTCAAGTGTGGAGTCTCTTTTGCTCACCAAGGCTGCATTTATTTAATCAAAATTACTCATATACTTATAGTTGTGATCAAAGCTGAATTTTCAGCATCATTGCTCCAGTCTTCAGTGTCACATGATCTTCAGAAATCATTCTAATATGCTGATTTGCTGCTCAAGAAACATTTCTGATTATTATCAATGTCGAAAACAGTTGCTGCCAAATATTTTTGTGGAAACTGTAATACGGTTTCAGGATCACATTTTTTCCCTGTATTGTTTAATACAAATAAGCAAATAAAATGTACACAAGATGTACATTTAATTTAAAATGTACTCAATATTACATTAAAACCAATATTTAAAACGACCCATTGAGAAGGCTTCTGGTAGATTCTAAAACTGACTCTTGGTGGCTAAATGATCTAAACATAAAGAACAAATAATCTGGGTGCTCTAAAGGCTCTAAAAGGAGAAGAGGCTCTAAAATGGTTGAACACAATCTATAATCACAGACACAGTCAGTCAAAATCAGTGGTTCTCAACCTTTTTGACTCTAAAGCACCACTTTGTCCGAGACAATGTTCAAAGGCCTTCCTATTTACGCTGCTTCTGTTGTAATAATGGTTTGATTGATGAATGATTTCATACTCAAAAATGTCAGTTTTTAAATTTTTAAATTTTTATTGTTTTTATTTCGTATTTTTAGCATTTTAACAAGATGATAATTTGAAGACTTATTGGGGCCCCCTAGTGGACCCTGGTCCCCTTGGTTGAAAACAACTGGTCTAGATACTGTTTACTCTTATGCTTTGTTGCCAACTTTCTGTATATGACCAAATACCAGTGCGCAATTAATAATTTACCACAGTAGGTACGTGTAAAGTTCAACAAACTACTTCGCGCTGTTGTTTCTTTCTGGTTCAGATGACCTGCCGCCTGTTGTTTTGGACAATAATACAGTCGAATGCACATAAATTAAATACAAAAGATGTGCAAACTGGTAGTGATTTTTCAGTAGTCTCAATTTGGAAGGCTACTGTCCAAACCCATGCGCAGAACTAACACGATGTGAAGAAGCTCTCTGGAAACCACAGAATACATCCATCAAGGTGTCTCTGCAAAAGCACATTCAAGCCTTCAGTTTCTTGAGCTCCAAACAAAGAGACAGAGAAAATGCTCCGCACTAACAAGCTCTGAATGAAAGCAAATGCACGCTCAGTCCGCTTGTGTCCGGCCTGCAGACTAGCTGTGAATGGTTCGGCCTTCAAAGTGGACACTTCAGTGAGCAGAAGAGGAGAAATAATGAGATATCTGTCAGAAACCCATCTTCTGTCCTTTTGAAGAACAGCCATGATTTTAATCGCTGAGGCGTCGCTTCGGGAGTATAACACAACCTTTCTTTTCAGTGTCTGATGAGCACACTGTAAACCTGTTTAAAACCTTCAATGATCCATCTGGAGGAGATGAGTGGGCGAAACAAGTGCACTTCGTGTTACCTAAGAGGATGTGCTCTAATCCTCACAGAATGAGTGACAGAATCATTTCCTGTGGGGAATTAAATCTAAGATTGATCTTTAAATATCACTGACACTCAGTGACATTATTTTCATGACAATTAAGCACATTCCCTCCCTAAACTCTTATTACTGTATTGCAAATGTTTTTTACTCTTAATTTTTATTCTCAAATGTGATTCTCATTATATTCTCATTACTGTAATTACTGTGACACAATGCAGCAATACAGTGATTTTTATTCAACTTTGCATAAATTAAAAGCAGTACAACAAATACTAGCTTGATATATAAGTAATAGTTAAAGTTGATGTGCAAATACATGCAGTTATTACATCTTTGGACATGTAAGATCATATCCATGCTGTGAGGAAAGATCTAAAATGTATCATCATGCTTAACTGTGAATGGACATTTCATAACCATAATACTTTACATATTTACAATAGAAAATGACCCTAAAAACCCTCTTAATTTTCTTGACTGTTCAGGTTTGTTTATCTTTTTTTTTATGGCAGGTCATGTCACCAAAAACATTTTTTCACAATGTAATGGAAAAAGATTGGGACACCAGATTAGAAATCTGTTGCAGATACGGCATGCAAATGCTAATGTTGGTCTGAACAGATGCATTAACAGGCGTTCATTCAAATTCAAATGTTTATCACACAGAATGCATTTTTCCATTCCAATGCGCGACTTTTTCATAGTTAATGTAAATGCGCTAGACATGTATGATCATGTTTGATCAACACGCTGTGCCAAAAAAATAGTAGCAAGTTGGCATGGCAACTGTTTTATTTGAGTTTTATTTTTATTTAACTGTTTTATCATTCCTGAGCGCTGAGTCTCGCATTTTTAGACGCAAAGACACGTTCTGTGGGAACAGCCCCTAAAACATAATTTTTTTGGTTTTTGCTATTTCCCTAAGAAAATGAATATTTAGTAATATATATAATATAGAAGTACAAATATTTCTCTTTTTAAACAGTTAAAGCTTTACAAAAATACCAAACACAAACCGTGTGACCAAAGCGACCTATGTGGAATGCTAAGGGCCTCCAAGTGCTCTGAAATGACCCCCTCAGTATACCCCACAATGCCCCTCTTCACCCCCCCCCCCCACATGCCATCTTATTGCGGTTCAATCCTATCTTCCCACTGAGCAAGCTGTCGCCTTGGCAACAGCTCACAGTTACCACAGTGTCTTGTGTAAAGCTCTGAGCCCGTGTGATATCAAACACCGAGCGACACAGCAACACTCCACCTTCGGCAGGCCAGAACATACACAGAAGTGACATAGTAATAGGGGTGTAAATTGGATGGTTCGTCACGATACGATACGATATCGAGTCTCATACCCAGTGATACGATATTTGCCGATACCTCAAAAAATTCTACGATACGATTACGATTCGATTCGATACAGGAGTATATCGATCGATATATCGATATTATGATATTATATACCTATTTTAAACAACCATCTACATTTTTATTAACTCACAAATGCAACCAAAATATATAACATGAACATTTATCTGAAATTTTCACATCCTGTACCTCAATTGGGACATTCACAACAAAAAAAATAGCCCTACCCTTTTTTTTTTTTTTTTTATAATAAAGAAAATAAACAATTCTGGCTGCTACTATGGGCTCAGTGCTAAAAATCTTTTCTACAGATAACCAAATTACAAGCAATAGCAGAAAATAAATACAAAGATACAAGTTCAATAAACAGTGCCTTTCAGGTTTTTCAGCTCAGTCTAAAATCAATTTTCAGGTACGCTACAGAAATGTAATAATCAAATAAAATAAGTGGATAGTCTTCAATGTATAAATTAAATGTAGATTAATCATTTTTGATGTTACAAAGGTTATTTAGTCAGGAGCAGTGAGCACTTGTATTTTCTTTGACAGCATTAGATTTATTATTAGTTTGCTTTCACTTTAAGAACGAAAGCACGGATTTAACTACTGATACACATGCCTTTTCTTTCTCAACTGTTTACGTTAGACATATGCCTAACCAACTGTGTTTACTAGGATATTCGCCAAAACGCGCATTTTGAAGTAATTTTGTCTGTATTTATTCATCCATTCACAAAAAAGCGGAAGAGAGCTCAATTTAGTATTCGGTGTAGACGCGGCTGTCTGTGTGCTTGCGCTTCAGATGTGTGCGCACTGCACAGAAAACTTCTCACACAGCGCTCGACTGTTCCGCCAACAATCCCGAGCGTCTTTTATGCTCACCTTGTGCTTTCGGGTAGTCCTTATATCGAGTCCTGATACGTGAGTTTGAATGAGAATGCACGCGTTGTCGGTAATGCTTAGATGGACATTATGTGAAAATGTGGACAGTGCCAAAATAAAGGTGCCTATTTATAATACAGATATCGATATTTTAGGCGTGGCATCGATGCAACGTATCGTATCGTCAGACATCGTATCGATGTATCGATGAATCGTTACACCCCTACATAGTAACGGTGTCATTTTACCTGTATCTTGACAGCGATAACAACAGAACTGAGTTCGCGGTCCAGCTCTTTCAGTACGATCAGCTTCTTCAGCGTCAGACTGCACAACCTGAGAGACAGACAGATAGAGAGAGACAGGGTTATTTGGTGCCATTCACAAGTCCTCATGGGTAAATTAGTCCCCAGTTATGAATTTCTGCTTCAATCTGATTTATTTGTGAGGTTGCTCACATAACCTTTTAAATGTAGATGCTTCAAATTGTGTAAAACCACTGTAAATAAACAAAACAAATGGAGGCCGTGATATCAAAGCTCATGTTCAGATGTCAGCATCAAATTGCATTTTGAGTGATTGTGAGGCAAAAAGAGTGCGAAATAATAATCTTTTAATAAACCATACATAAAGAAATAAAAGGCGGAATCTAGTTTATTGTTTGCCAGTTGAAAAGTGTAAGCCTTGAAAAGTAAAGCCCAAAACATACTTAGGTTTTTACTAGCGCTGTCAAACGATTAATCGCATCCAAAATAAACGTTTTTGATTACATATATAAATGTGTGTACTTTGTATTTTTATTATGTATATATATATTATGTATATTTTTACACATGTATGTACTTTTCTTGGTTTTTCTATCTGCGCCTTGATTTTTTTCCTTAAGTAGTTTGTCCACAAGGTGGCAGCACTGATTTCACAATTGAAAAAAGGAATAGATGGAACAACAACAACAAACACAACAATAGACGCCTGAACTTATGAGCATTTGTGCAAATGGATTCAGGGATTCAGTCTAGTTTGAACAACATTTTATCGCCCATAAATTCTGGAGAGAAATAGCGCAGACACTTGACAAAGATAAAACTTTCTAATTGTCTTGTGTTGAGCACCTGTGTTCAAAACAAGCTATCAAATAAATTTTACTTTGAAAGGCTATATATTCGGACACATACATTAAGCATTTGCGTCAAAACGTAAGTATATTTTGGGCACATACTTTACAGTTAGCGTTTGCGCCTTGATTTTTTTTTTGTGATAATTAGTTTGTCCACAAGGTGGCAACACGTACCAATGCCATTGTCTCACAGTTAAAATAGAAACGGAAGAGATAAAACAGCAACAAAAATCTACTTGAGACAGCAACAACAACAACAGATGCCCACGTTGGCAAACCCGCATGTCAGGAGTTTAGAGTTTCACGCAACTCTAGTTTAAAAAAATTAGGTAGACATTTCTATCATTCGTAACTTCTGGAGAGAAATAGCACAGACACTTGACAAAGATCCTGAAGAATATGGACTCTGATGCTTTCAAAACATGGCTCTGTTCGTTTGACAGTGCCATGTCAACTAGCTCAACCAATGACATGAAATTGGGGAAGGGCTTCCTGTTTGGCTGACCAATGGTAGACAGGCAGCTTGTTTGGGGAAACAGTTTTTTTTTTGTTTAACTCCACTGCTAGTGTCATAGAAACTACACACTTGACCTCAAAGGTGTGTTTCTAGCTGCCAAACACTGTCTGGCCTCTGTGTACTGGATTCAGGAGTTAAGCAGGTATGAACTCATTCTATGGTCTTCTGGGAGCTAATTACTCTGCCGTCCTGAGTGTTTATCTGGATCAACAATGCCTTTGGCTAGACAGGAAGCTGTGCCCTACACATCATCATGCCCTCAAGTAGCACAAAATGTAGTTGGTTTAGACAGAAATTCATGTTAATCTGTTTAATTACTCCTCGCACTTTGCAAAATATCAAAATGTGTTGGCATGCTACACTTCAATTTTCTGTTAAATCTGAAATGAACATTTTCGGAAATGAAAATGTAAGGGACATGTATTTGAAAGGAGCCTTTGAACTTCAAATACCACCCAGCCGACACTTTCATCCTGGAGATTTCTTCACCTTCACGTTCCAGTAACTGAGAATGAGTCTGTCAGGAGCTTATCCTGAGATTCACACGCACACACCTCGATTTCTCTGACCTGTATGACTCACCCTCTCTGAGGACCGAAATACCTCACTCTTGATTTATTTTCTCAGTATTTTCACTCCTTCCCTCTCTGCAAACTCCGCTCTGGTCTCTAACTCTACAACAAAGACACAACCACATAAACTAATGACACTTGAGTCCTACATTACAGACACACACTACAAGCCACACTTTATGTACTGTGCGTGGTAATGACATTAAAGATGCCATTCACCCTATAATTTCACTTTTGGTCCATTATCCACTTACGTCTACAACAAACAGCCATCATTTTGTTTTGTTTTTTCTTTTCATCAGCATTTTCCATGCTCTCTATGACCTTTAGAGTTAAAACAGGTTGTTTTTGCTACTGCACCTTTAAGTCCTTTATATGTAAATGAGCTCTGCCTCTGTTATGATTGGTTAACCCCTTCACCTGTGAAATGAGCAGTAAATCATGATATGCATAAATTGTGAACAATGAAGTTTTCATTGTTTAGCACAAACTAAATCGCAAATATAAAATAAACATATTGGGTCATGCACTATAAAGAACAATTATTTTAAACATCAAGTTTGTACGACTTTATTTGAAGTGAAAGTGAAACTAGCAGCCTGTATGAAATGCACTAGCTACATGTGTCTCTCTCATTCTTCAAAAATACAAATGTGTGTGCATAACTGTGCATATAATTCATAGCACATTTCAGATGACAAAAATGTGACTTATATGTCAGTTCACTGCTGTTACAAGTTTTGGACTCGCTCTGGAAAAAGTGGTACATCCCTAATATTTATATATTTAAACTGGAGAGTTAGCTTTGAGGTATGGAACTTGTAGGGGTGGGCGATATGACCAAAATCTTATACCACAATATGAGTAATTTTATTTCACGGTTACAATATATATCACAATATAGTTATTTTTGCTTTAATACGATCTTTATGATATCAACATTTTTGATACCATAGAAATTTCATAATTCTTGCCACCAGTATCAATATCACAAAAAAAAACAATACTAGCCTAAAAATCAGCAATTAAATAAGAATAAGAAACTAATTACAAGCAATCAGGCAAAAACTACAGTAGAACAAATAAATAAGAAATGCTACATACATTGCATAAAGTAATCAAATGTATAAAATATTGCATATTCTTCACTGTTTTAATATATATTTCTTCTTATTAAAGTAAAAAAAAGTGATTTAGTCAAGAGCAGTGAGAGATTTTCTCTCTTTTGTTGTCTGATTAACATGAATGACAGACAGCAGGAATATTAGACTGCTGTCACTTTAAGAGCTGCCCGGATCCAATATACTGTTATATATACACACATGTTTTCTTTCTCAGACGTTTGCTTTAAAACTTACTGTGTTTACGAGGATACTTTCAAAAATGGGCATTTTGACACATATAAGTGTGTGCAGGCTATTTAACCATTCAAGGTCTCTAAAGCAGCAAAAATAACTCCGTCTTCACGTGCGCGCATCTCACGTCTCTCAGGGAAAAAAAAGAGTTCCCTTTCATGGGAACTTTGAACTGCGTCCTCTAGGGGTCGCTATGGGGAACGCCTCGTCGTGACCCGTGCATACATTGAAAAAACACCAACTCGTTGGCCGGCGACAGCCATGACGTCACTACCGGTGCGACTATAGTATAAATAGGCGCCGGGAGCACACATCATTCTCTTCTTCGTCTTCATTGACTGTTAACGAGACACTGCGTCCTCTAGGCTTCTTGCCATGCTTCGAACGCAAGCTTCAGATGAAGAAGTGAATGATGTGTGCTCCCGGCGCTTATTTATACTATAGTCGCACCGGTAGTGACGTCATGGCTGTCGCCGGCCAACGAGTTGGTGTTTTTTCAATGTATGCTTCAGACACGGGTCACGACGAGGCGTTCCCCATAGCGACCCCTAGAGGACGCAGTGTCTCGTTCCCTACTCAGGGAACCATGGTTACATAAGTAACCTGAGACGTTTTCTTTCGCTGCTGATTGCGTTTTAATGGCTTAAGATTACTTGTTTTTAAACCACAATGCTTAAAAACGTGTGCAAACGATAACTTTTCGTGACCACGTTGCACAGCATCTGTGAAATTTACTAGCAATTTCTCAGTGACAATTGTTTCAAAGTAAATCATAAATTTTTTATATATTCCAGTGTAGAGTCACCTCTGTGAATATGTGTAAATATCAAGGACATCATCAAGGTTTTCCATAAAGTGACCCCTTTAACTGGATATGCAACTCTATTTGTAGTCCCATCAACCTCTCCTGCTCTTCATTCATGGCTCTGATGGAGAGCAGGCAGAGAAACGTTTATGCTGGGTCAGCTCAAAACACAACCACCCTACTGAAGCTATTCAGCACTGGCCATTGAAAGGCCCTGTGGCATGAAAAGCCCCTGGAACGGCCCAAACATTCCATGCCAGAGATCATGAGAAAAAGCACAAACAGAAGTGCATTCACTGTTCTGGCTCAGTCTCTCAGGATCCAGTGTCAGTCTTACATAAGATCCAGACCGCCGCTGCTGATCCAGCATCTCCTCAGGACAACATCCCAGTCAGAACTCTGGCCAGCCGCAAAAACAATGTGAGTAATCACCTCTGACCCCAAACAAGATGATAAATTATGATTGCACAACATGTCAGAGCATGTGAACTACCTGCCAAGCCACATCTCCTTCATTTTTTATTATCCTGATATACTAATGGCAAACTTTTTAGAGCAAGGTTGTCCAATCCTGGTCTTGGAGAGCAGACATCTTGCAGATTTTAGCTTGACTAGAAGTTTCTAGTAAGTCTAAAGACCTTGATTAGCTGGATTAGGTGTGTTTAATTAGGGCTGGAGCTCTGTAGGACAGTGACCCTCCAGGAGCAGTTTTGGACACTCCTGTTTTTGGGATAGAAAGATGTTGGAAATACCTGAGCAGTGGTTTACTGTTAGCGAACAGCCCAACGTCACCCACTAGGGATGCACCGAATGTTCGGCAACCGAAATTATTCGGCCGAAAATAGCAAAAAAAGTTATTTCGGTGTTCGGCCGAATAAGCGAAAAGTAAAAAATACATGCATGATTCAAGAAGGGGGTCTGATTATAATTATTAATTAATTAAATTGTTGTTTTGTAATTGATTTTTTTT